TACATGGTATCAACCCCCTTATGTATTATACATGGTGATCATATCCCCCCTTATGTATTATACATGGAGATCATATCCCCTCTTATGTATTATACATGGAGATCATATCCCCCCTTATGTATTATACATGGTGATCATATCCCCCCTTATGTATTATACATGGAGATCATATCCCCCCTTATGTATTATACATGGAGATCATAATTCCCTTATGTATTATACATGTTGATCATATCCCCCCTTATGTATTATACATGGTGATCATATCCCCCCTTATGTATTATACATGGTGATCATATCCCCCCTTATGTAAATATACATGTGATCATATCCCCCCTTATGTATTATACATGGAGATCATATCCCCCCTTATGTATTATACATGGTGATCATATCCCCCTTATGTATTATACATGGTGATCATATCCCCCCTTATGTATTTATACATGGAGATCATATCCCCCCCTTATGTATTATACATGGAGATCATATCCCCCTTATGGAGATCATATGCCCCCCCTTAATCTCCTCTTCTCAAGAGAGAATACATTCAGTTTCCTCTAATCTTTCCTCATAGCTGAGCTCCTCCATGCCTCGTATCAGTTTGGTTGCCCTTCTCTGTACTTTCTCCAGTCCCCCAATGTTCTTTTTGTGAATTGGTGCCCAAAACTGAACTGCATGTCTTCAGTGTTGTCACATGAAAAGATAGAATCAAATATTTGCAAAAATGTGAGGGGTGTACTCCCTTCTGTGAGATACTGTATAAAACATGTGATTGTTGGTTTCAATCTGTAGTAACTTGCACCTCGATGGGATGGCTCTGTTACATCGGGACGTAGTCACTAGCCGTGCCGCCCCTGCAGTAATTGGCTATATACTCTTTACAGGTCTTTATTTCCATGCCGTGCTTGGTATCTTCTTCATTGTCATCATGTTAATTTTCTTTAGTTTTGTTTAATGGTTTTCTACTATTCATGTATAATCTTTATACAACACAATCATTTGTACTTTATTTTTCATTCAATAAAGATTTTGCCTTTCTTGGTAAAAAGGACACAGATATGATGACATTCCAGACATCCAGTGCACCGCGACAAAGATACTGCGCAACGTTACGGAAAATGAGTTCTGAGAATGTTTCCAGCAGTGCCCCAGTCCTGTAGAAAAGGGGACTACTTTGAAGGTGACAACAGATGCTAGTGTATAGGGAAGCAAGCCGTTTTTCTTTATAGTCCATTCTGGGAATTATTATTATACAGGATTTATATAGCGCCAACAGTTTGCTCAGTACTTTACAATATAACGGGAGACAATACAGCAATAATACAGTTCAATACAAGAGGGATAGGAGGGCCTGATCCTGGGAGCTTACAATCTAAGGCCCCATGTACACAGGACACTTCTGAACAATGGAAACTGGAAAACGTAGGTTAAAAAACATCTGTTTAGCCGCGTTTGCATAACGTGTTTTATGCGCGTTTGCGTTTAGAAGCGTTTTTTAAAGCTAAGCACCAGAGAACCTCCCAAATGCCCAGAATGCACTAAAAAGTGGTAAATTATTAACTATTTCAGAGAAATACAGAGAGTAGAAGCAGAGACAGCAGTATGTGTTGAGATTAGCTTAGGTGTGAGTTGCTCATTAACATTTCTTTTGTTTCCAAGGGGTGGTAAAGGTGTCTGGTGGAGGGAGTCATTAAGGTCACCTGGCAGGGGGTCTTCATGAGGAATTTGAGGTGTGAATGGTCATTAACATATCTTTTGTTTCCAAGGGTGGGAGAGGTCTGAGATGTGAATTGGTGGGAGAGGTCTGAGGTGTGAATTGGTGATTACAATGTGTGACAAGCTTGGTAGGAACATCCTGTGTTCAGTGTTTTGTCCATCTGAGTGTCTTGAAAATGCATTTTTCATGATGAAAAAAGGCTCTGGACAGCAACGGGAACTGGAAGAGTTAAAAAAATTTTCAGACGCAAATGCTCATAAACGCAATTTGCCGCGTTTACAAGCGTTTTAAAACGCTGATAAAATCAACGTCTGAATGCAAGTTTTTCTGCGTTTCAAAAAACGACTGTAAACTCAAATGCCTGTAAACGACTGTAAACATCGATGTGTACATGGGCACATAGGAAAACATTAGGGAGAGTTCAGGGGCTGCTGAAAAAAAATGCTGAACAGATCCTAAACGTGAGTTTTTATCAGCTGCAGTGTACATGAGCCCTAAGAGGGAATTCAATTTTTATACCACATATGTGTGGCGTGTGGGTGTTAATGATTACCTGCTGCACATATGTGTTCTGTGGGCAGCAACAGGTTAACGCCTCTACTACACAGATGATGGCATGGTCCTGGGGGCCACTTCCTCATAGATCACACAGCCTGGATGTATTGCAACTGCAGGATCAGCGTGCAGATCAGATAGCATTCCTTTTTAACCACTTGCCCTCCTGAGGATTTACCCCCCAGGCCATTTTTTGCGATACGGCACTGCGTTATTTAACTGACA